AAAGTGATTGCTGGGCCCCTTGCTGAGATATTTATATCATTGATAGCCAAAGGTGAGGTGCTGGAAGACTGGAGGTTCGCTAACGTGGTGCCAATATTTAAGAAAGGTGGCAACAAAAAGCCATGAAACTATAGACCAGTGAGCCTGACATCAGTGGTGGACAAATTGTTGGAGGAGATTCTGAGGAACAAGATTTACATGTATTCAAAAAGGCAAGGACTGATTAGGGATCATCAACATGGCTTTGTGCATGGGAATTCATGTCTCACTAATTTGAATGAGTTTTTGAATAAGTATTAAAGAGGATTGATGAAGGTAGAGCAGTGGATGTATCTATACGGACTTCAGCAAGGCGTTCAACAAGGTTCCGCATAGTAGACTGGTTAGCAAGGTTAGGTCATATGGAATACAAGGAGAGCCAGCCATTTAGATACGGAACTGGCTCAAAGGTAGGAGAGAGAGGATGGTGGTGGAGGGTTGATTTTTGGACTGGAGACCTGTGAGCAGCAGTGTGATGCAAGGACTGGTGCTGGGACCACTGCTTTTCATCATTTATGTAAATGTTTTGGATGTGAACACAGGAGATATGGTTAGTAAGTTTGCAGATGATACCAAAATTGGCGGTGTAGTGGACAGTGAAGAAGGTTATGTCAGAGTACAATGGTTCCTTGATCAGATGGGCCAATGGGCTGAGGAGTGGCAGATGGAGTTTAATTTGGATAAATGTGAGGTGCTGCCTTTTGGAAAGGCAAATCAGGGCAGGACGTATATACTTAATGATAACATCCTGGGGAGTGTTGCTCAACAAAGAGACCTTGGAGTGCAGCTTCATTGTTCCTTCATAGTGAAGTCACAGGTAGACAGATTAGTGAAGAAGGCATAATGCTTGCCTTTGTTAGTTAGTGCATCGAGTATAGGAGTTGGAAGGTCATGTTGTGACTAGAGAGGACATCTGTTAGACCATTTTTGGAATACTGCCTTCAATTCTGGCCTCTCTGCTATAGGAAGAATATTATGAAACTTGAAAGGGTTCAGAAAGATTTGCAAGAATGTTGCCTGGAGTGGAGGGTTTGAGCTATAGGGAGAGGTTGAAATGACTGTGCTATATTTCTCTGTTTTAATTACTATACATTTGTTTTTAAAGTGCATCCCCATGGTCTCCATATGGTAATCTATAATGGCAATTCCAAAAGTAACTTCTGGTCTGGGCTGTTTGCAAACTATATTCAGCCATGAGGAGTGTAAACGTATTCCAAGATCAGGGATATTTTTCTGTCTATCTGTAATCCAGCCAATGTATAGCCAGCCTAAGTCCAATTTAAACATTTTCATGTTACCAAATGTAAAATGCTAGAAGTATTTTACAGCTAACATTTAATCTCAGTAACTAATTTAGGAATAGAGCCAATCACAATTCACACCTAAAAATTGCTGGGCACATTATCAACAAAGAATTTCATCAGAAGTAGTGTTAGAGGATCAAAGAAAAAGCGTGATTACTGAATTGTAACATTTGGTTTGAGTTTGCTATGTTTTAGAAGTATTATAGCTGTAGGAATGCAAAGTGAGACAGTAAATGGAAATGTGGAGCAAAAGCGAAATGAACAAAAAGAGACGAGTTAGGGAGTAAAGACAAAGCCAATACAGATCAAGATAATGAGGAAGGATAGTGACTGAGGAAAAAAATACAAAGCAAAAAAGAATTGAAATGAAAGAAGTACATAGAATAAAATAAATAATTGTATATAGTAACAGGGATTGATATCTGAGTAATGTGAAATATGCAAAAGAAGTAAAATTGGGAAATAAGTTGTTGTAAAAAAATTTTTTAATTGTCATAGAATCATAAAATCGTAAAATCCCTACAGTGTAGAAAGAGGCCATTCGGTCCATAGAGTCTGCAATGATCCTCCAAACAGTATCCCATCCGAACCAGAGCACCCCCACCCCCACCCGACCACGCGCTCCCCCCACCCCCCCGCACCCCCCCCCCCCCCCACATCAACTAACTTGTCTCCAATTCCACACATTTCCCATGGCTAATCCACCTATCCTGCACAATCCAGAACACTACAGGGCAATTTAGCATGGTCAATCCACCTAAATCGCACATCTTTATTCATCCTAACCTTGGAATGTCCTACATGTGACTCCAGATCCACAGTGTGGTGCTTGATGCTTAACTGCATCTGAAGTGCCTAGCAAGATTTCCAGTTATATCATTTCACTCAAAAGATTACTAAGAATAAAATCAGGCAACCCACCTGGTGTCAACCTAGGAAATAGAAACAACAAAGACAAACACGTCCCATTCAGCGCTACAAAATCTTCCTCATGAACATTTTCCGACTTGCGCCAAAATTGGAAAAACTATCCTTTGAGTCAGTTAAGTAACAAATTGACAAAGTCATATTCACCAAATTGTACATTTCTGCAAATGTCCCACGTTCCTCCGTCAGCAAGTCTGGGTACGACCTGTCCCACATGATAAACTTACTATTGTACAGCATCACACTCGAGAGAGTAGCCCCAAGAGTTCTCAAAGTCTTATGGCATTATTTGGAATATGGGCAAGGAAACCTTTTGTTGGGTATCATGTGGCACCCTCCCCATGACAATATTGAAGACTACTTGAAAGGAGCAGTAGGTATCAAGAACACAGAATCACCAGGACCAAATGTGACTTGGTAGCACCACTGCTGACTAAACTGGCTGGGTCCTGAAAGACATATCTACCAGACTGGGCCTGTGTCAGGTGGTGAGAGAGCCAACAATGGTAACTAAACGTCATCATCACTGATGCATCTGTCTGTGACAGTTTGCTACAAGTGACCATCACTTAGATCTTACGACAATGCTGTCCTGTCAAATTGAAGGCACAAGGCATTTTCCATTATATGGTGTGGAACTACTATCATGATAAATAGAATAGATTTAGAAAAGAATTCAGCTGAAAACTATGTATCTATAAAGTATGATAGTCCAACAGCGGGACAGGAATTGTATTCAATCACAATAATCAATCAATTGGACCTGCTATCCCTCATTTCATTGCCATCAAAACAGAGGACCAACCCTGGTTCAAAGAAGGAACATGCCATGAGTGGCTGAGGCAAATTTGAAAATCAGCTGTCCATCTGGTAAAGCTGCAATACAAGACTCCATGTATGCTAAACAGCAGAGGCAACACATGATAGACAAAGCTAAGCAAACCCACAAGCAATGAATTGTAACAAAACTCTGCAGTCCAGCCACAACCAGTTGTCAGTGATGGTGGATAATTTAATAACTAAACAGAGGAGGAGGCTTCAAAAATCTTCTCATCAGCAACGTGGGGGAAGTCAGCCAGTGAATGCAAAGCATAAGAGTGAAAATTTTGCAACTAGCTTCAGGCAGAAGTGCTGATTAGATAATCCATTTCAGCCTCCTCCTAAGATCCACAACCATAATTTAAGCCAATCTTCAGATAATTTGATGCACTTCATATGAAATCAGCAACAGTTCAAGCCAGTGAATACAGCAAAGCATTGAATACTGACAGCATCCCAGCTGTAGTACTCCACAACTATTCATGACTTAGTCAAGCTTTTCCAGGAAAGCTGTAATGCTAACATCTTTCTGACAAGGTAAAAAAAAATTGTTGAGAACAATATTTATCCTTGTTATGTAAGTGACAAGTAACATTCATGCTACACAAATGCTGGTCAATGAACATCTCCAGCAAGGTATCAGCATTGACCAGAAACAAAATTAGACCATCCACATAAAGAATGTGACTTGAAAAACAGGCCAGAGGTTAGGAATTCATCAGCAAATAACTTGATACTTGCATGTCTATTGCCTGTCCACCATCTATAAGCAATGAGTTGGCAGTGTAATCTGATACTCCCAAATTGCTTAGATGTTTGGAGCTCCAATACATTTGAGAAGTTCAACACCATCTAAGACAAAGCAGTTGTTTGATCAGCATCCCATTCACCATCTTAATATCACTCCTTCACTGCTGGTGTTAAAAGAAAAATCATAATAGTACTACTTTCTCATTAAAGAGAGATGATTGGCACATCCGGCAACAGGAGAGGTTGAGAAGGAAAGACTTTCATGGTAACCTCAGCCAGTGATGGAATTAAACACGTACTGTTGGAGTTACTCTGCGCTACAAGCCAGCCATTCAGCCAACTGAGCTAACGAGGTAGCTTGCAATCATTTTCTCGAAGATAATTATGGATAGACAATAAGTGCTGGCCTTTCTAATGGCATTCACATTCCAAGAACTAATTTATAGAAAAAGATGGTTTGTATGACAGTAAAAGAAGACAGAACTATTTTTGAGCAACATCAGTGATTTTCCATTTGTTAGGTCACTTACCATCTAGTATAAATGGGCAGAGTAAACATGATAAACATGCCACTCATTTCTACTTGAAATTGAAATTGGAGTTCTATATATGTAATTGTATTTTTAATTGCACACTGAAGGTAGCCTCAAAGTAACACAGGCTGCTGACTGAGGAATCATCAAGGGAACCTAGCCAAGGCTATAATGACCAGAACACCATTATAAACGGAACAAAAACGAAGTTGCTGGAAAAACTCAGCAGGTTTGGCAGCATCTGTGAAGAAAAAACTCAGAGTTAACGTTTCGGGTCTGGTGACCAACCCATCAATGATCTGACACCACGTCTATGTCACTGCAGCCTTGCTTGTAACAGATGAAGGTAGTTAACATTTCCTCTCATATATCCTTCAGTCCTGGTTAGCAATAACATTAACAGATCAGACAAGATCTTCCAGTGTTATCAAATGACAGGTCCTTCCGTTTACAAGATTAAGTCATGCAGTGTTTTGCTAAACCTCTTTGTTATCTTGTATATCAAACAGAAGTTAACAAATCCAAAATGTATCTCTGTAGACAGCAGGGTATCAGTCTGTAAATTAAGTACTAGACAACATGGTTGACAAAAATGAAACAATAAGAATATGCAAATCGTTCCAGCTACCTGAATATTTTCTGTTCCTGGCTGCTGTAACAGTTTTATGTTCCTGCCCCCAGCTGTCCGTTGCCCTCTCCCATCATTCAAAGAAAGGTTCTCGGTATCATCTTGCAACCTGCAGTTTAAATCATCTGTTGACAGACTTTGTTCCAGGGCATTTCGGCAAAAGCTGAAATGGGAAGCCGCTGAAAATTGAGGGAAAAGGGAATGCATGAAGCAATGAGGAGATGCTTTGACATTTTTTTGCATTCACTTACACAGAAAGAATAACTGTATCACAATCATCAACTAAATAATAAAACATTTCAAACTCAACCACTGAAATGAAACCACAACATTATCTAATATAACTTTCAGCCATTTACCCGCTCCAGTTAGCCTCAGTACTCAAGGCTAGAAAATGAAAAATCATTCCCAGAGACTCGTGTCAACATCCAGTGAAAACAAGATCTGGCACAGCTACAATATGCTGTATGGTCAAATAGCTGATCAACACTCATCATCAATGTAATGCATGAGAAGTACTGGAGGACTGGCAGAATATGCAACTCCTGCCTTCAAGAGAAAGAAGAAAATTGCAGGTGAAGAAAAACATATATATGTAAAACATTAAATTATTCTGAAAATTCAAACAAGTCAATTATTTAGCAAAACAGTTGGTGACCTCAAGGAAAATTATTCATTGTTGAAATCATAAATGAAATTTATACATTGCTATGACATTTTTCAATATATTTCCAGAAGAAACAATGCTAAAGTTCAGATTAACTTGCCTACATTGCTGAATGTAAAGGGAAGTTGTATTGAATATGAACAGTAAACGGTGGATGAAGCTATTAGTAATTGAGGTATGTTACATAGTAAAGAAAGAAATATATATATTCATAAAAAACACAAGTGCAAGAATAGTTCTTACTCCTCTGATTCATAAATATAATTGAGTTTTGACAACATGCAATTCAGCATCAGATTGAAGTGTAAAATCCCATATGTCCTGTCGTATGACATTGTTTTCCATTATTTTATCATTAAATAATTAAAAGGTTGTGCACCCAAAAGCGCATTCAATATTAAGTTGAGCCAGAGAGAAGTATTAAACTTGAGGAAGCTGGGTTTCCAAATATGATTCAATGTATTTCTGGAAGTTTCATCACAGGACTTGCCTCCATGCATCCAGCCATTAACTAACACATCTATCCTTGTGACACATTCCCTTCCAATGCCAAACAAAATAAAAGACTCATTAACCAATTGCATGATGCTTATCTGCCAGCCAAACACCCTTTTCCCACTCATTTTCAATATTGCTATATCTGATAAAGAGAAATGTTGAAGGAAATGATGAAAAAGCCATCTTTTTCATGTCCCTGTGATTTTTCTCCAAGGTTACATGCAGTAGTGTCCTGGAGATTGATCTTCAGTTCCTAGACACTTGGCAACCCTGGAAGTCTAGCTGATGTTTTGGAGCTGTACAACTTCTAATCCATAATAGTGCAGAACTACAAGTTGTAATGCACTTGTTTGCTGATGCCAAAAGAATTCTGTAGAGAATTATCAAATCAATAAATCTCTTCTATATTGCCAGAAATGTAAGAGTATCAAGAAGACAAAATACCAAGGAGTTGACTACAAAATTTTGGAATTATTTCAAAAATTACTTATTAAATCTTGAGCAGAAACTGTTATTTATAATTAGCAATCCATAATTATTTTCATAAACAAAGCAGTGTTAATATTGCCACTAGGATCCTATGCAATGTACAAAAGCTTAAATTGCTGTAGAAACTCAGCAGATCTGGCAGTACCTGTGAAGAGAAAACAGAGTTAACACTTCTGACGCAGTGACCCTCCTCAAACAATAACTGCTCCCACTATTATCGAATACAACATCTTGTAGGATTAAACTTATAGACGTCAAAGCAAACAAAATTGTGGTGCATATCCAGTTCATTTTAATTCTGAAAAGGTTAAAAAAAATTAAAAAAAACTTTAGCCACTTTACTAAGACTCACCCTCCCCTCACTGATATTTCGCTACTTGTTCATGCATCACTCTTCCAACATGTGGCACTCAATCCAACAGACTTATTAGGGAATGGGCAGGTCTGTGTATTAGTCAAATCAAAAACCTCTGAATTATTGCATTGAATTAAGTCCTTGAATGATGTAGGTCATAAATAGTAGATAGGACTGAGAAATCAGGAACCAGTTAAACTATTGCACTGTTTGACATTCAACTGATTTTTTGTCTAGATCAACTTCTACTGCCAAAAAAATTAAACCAACTATCTAACTCAAATGGAACTTAAGATGAGTATTTAGTAATTATCATTGTGGTGTGAGCATGTTGCTGCCTTGTATCATTTTTCATGTGATAATTTCTGCGAAAGATTTACTAAGTAATTTTTAAAATTATTCCTACATTTCTCAGTCAACTTCTTGATATTTAAAAATAAAACCAAAAGATTGTGGATAGTCATACAGCGTGGAAACAGACCCGTTGGCCCAACTTGTACATGCCAACCATGTTATTCAAACTGAACTAGTCCCATTCACTTGAGTTTGACCCATATCCCTCCAAACATTTCCTATTCATTTACCTGTCCAAATATCTTTTAAATGTCATAATTGTAATCACTTCCACCACTTTGTCTGGCAGTTCATTCCATACACGCACCATCTTCTCTGTGAAGAGGTTGCCCTCAGGTCCCTTTTAAATTTCTCTCTTCTCACCTTAAAATTATGCCCTCCATTTTGGACTCCCCTATCCTGGGGAAAAGACCTTGGCTGTTTACCCTATCCTGCCTCTCATGATTTTATAAACCTCTATAAGGTCACCTCTTAGACTCCTATGGTCCACCAAAATAAGTCCTAGCCAACCAGCATTTCCTTATATCTCAAACTGTCAATTCCAGGCAAAATCCTTGGAAATCTTTTCTGCACTCTTTCCAGTTCAATAGTGTCCTTCCTACAGCCGGGCGACTAGAATTGTGTGTAGTATGCTATAAGTGGCCTCACCAATGTTGTGTCCAGCCACAACATGCATCCCAACTCCTATACTCAATACTCTGACCAATGAAGGCAAGCTTACCAAATGCCTTCTTCACCACCCTGCCTACCTGTGATGTCAATTTCAAGGAACTATGTACCTACACCTTATTCACAACACACCCCAAGGCCCTACCACTAACTGTATAAGTCCTGCCCTGGTTTGTCTTACCAAAATGCAAAACTTCACAGTTATCTAAATTAAACTTCATCTGCTACTCCTCAGCCCATTGGCCCAGCTGATCAAGATCTCATTGTACTCTTAGATCACCTTCTTCACTGTCCACAATACCACTAACTTTACTTACCATGCCTCCTATTTTTTCATCGAAATCAAACAAAAACAGAAATTTAGAGTGTGAGAGTCTTCTCCCATGTCCTTACCCCAATCCCCACACACCAGACTTTGTCATCACTTGAGCTGCCACCCCACTCCACCCATTGTCAGCTACTAATAGTCCCCATTAGCAGATATTCATTTTCCCAGGCTGAGCTTTACCCACTCCATTGTCTGTCCATCTCTCTTTGGGCTCTATTTCCACCATTCATTTACTCCTCCCCTCCCCCTACCTCATCTTCTGTATAAATACCAACCTTTTCCTAGCTGTCATCAGTTTTGAGAAGTGTCACTGGACCAGAAATGTTAACTCTGCTTTCTCTACACAGATATGCCAGACCTGCTGAGTTTTTCCAGAAATCTCTGTTTTTTGTTCTTGATATTTTATCCTTTTGATAAAAGTCAAACATTTACCACAAGTTAATTTATTTGAGACCTTAATACAAGAACCAATGGGTTGAGAAGTGGCAGATGGAATTAGTTGAGATAAATGTGAGGTACTTCACTTTGGGAAGGCAAATCAGGACAGGACTTATACACTCAGTGATAAGGTCATGGGGAATGTTGATTAACAAAGAGACCTTGGAGTGCAATTTCATAGTTCCTTGAAATTGGACTCACAGGTAGGTAGGATAGTGAAGAAGGTGTTTGGTCTGTTTGCCTTTATTGGTTAGTGCATTTAGTACAGAAGTTTGGAGGTTATGTTGCAGCTATATAGGACATTGGTTAGGCCACTTTTGGAATACTGCGTGCACTTCTGGTCTCCCTGCTATCAGAAGAATTTTGTGAAACCTGAAAGGGTTCAGAATAGATTTACAAAGATGTTGAGACAACAAGGTGCAGAGCTGGATGAACACAGCAGGCCAAGCAGCATCATAGGAGCAAAAAGATGTTGTCAGGATTGCAGGGTTTGAGCTATAGGCAGAGGCTGAATAGGTTGGGGCTATTTTCCCTGGGGTAACCTTATAGGCATTTATAAAATCATGAGGGGCATAGATAGGGTAAATAGTCAAGGTCTTTTCCCTGGGGTGGAAGAATCCAAAACTAGAGGGAACAGGTTTAAGGTGAGAGGAGAAAGATTTAAAAGGGACCTAAGGGGCAACTTTTTCACGCAGAGGGTGGTGTCTGTAGGGAACCAGCTGCCAGAGGAAGTGGCGGAGGCTGGTACAATAACAACATTGAAAAGGCGTCTGAATGGGTATATGAATAGGAAGGGTTTATAGGGATATGGGCCAAATGCTGGCAAATGAGACTAGATTAATTTAGGGGGATATCTGGTCGGTATGGATGAGTTGGACCGAAGGGTCTGTTTCCATGCTGTACAATTTTATGACTCAATGACTCTAACTGACAGCTACCTGAAACAAAGGTTGCTACAGGAACCCAATACCTGCAATCATACTTGACTATACCGTAGCAATTGTTGAAAAATGGCAGCAAATTACTTTGACAATCTTGTAATAGCTGACAAACATCACGATGTGAAGCTGTCAAATGTTCACAGGGGTAAATAATTGTTCACTTTCAGAAACATTCATATGGGAGTAGGCACTGAGGAAATGGCTATTGCACCTGAATTGATGGACAAGACGCACATAATATCAAGTTTTATGCTTCATTTTTATTAATTGAAAAATTACAAACATCTAAATGGTATCTCCTGCATTCCACCAAAGAAGAAACATTAGAGATTGAGCATTGTATGGTCTGAAGAGGTTCTCAGTTAATTCCTGAAAATGTCAGGAGAAGAGGAAATGAGAGAGGAGTAATCAGGAAATGTGGAAGGGAGAAAAGTAAGCCC